ACCGCGGCGGCGCCCCGAGAGCCGCGGGGGAGGCCGGCTGGGAGAAGATCAGTGACATCACAGACACTCAGGTGACCCTCTCAGGTGAGACGCTCAGGTGAGACGCTCAGGTGAGACGCTCAGGTGAGACGCTCAGGTGAGACGCTCAGGTGAGACGCTCAGGTGAGACGCTCAGGTGAGACGCTCCTCCAGATGTGATGTCACTCGGTCTTGTTGCCTAGCAATAACGCCTCCGTTTCCAGGTCTGAAGTTCGATACGCCGTTCGTCGTATTCCGAGTCCGGGCGCGAAACAAGGCCGCCGCCGGAGACTTCTCTGAGCCCGTTGCCATGGAAACCAAAGGTAACACAGCAGACGGGACAGGAGCTCTGAACCCTCTCTGAGACTTTCTTCTTCTGTGGTTTTGGCAGCGTTTACCTTTGGCTTTGACGCGGCGACGGCTCACGCTGAGCTCAAGATCCAGGGCGACACGGTCATATGGGAGCCCCAGGGGGTCAAAGGTCATGACGCACGTCTCAAGGGCAAAGAGAATAAAAACAGGTGAGGAAGAGAAACGCTTCACTTGCCCCGCCCACTGCCAGTAGCCCCGCCCACTGCCAGTAGCCCCGCCCACTGCCAGTAACCCCGCCCACTGCCAGTAGCCCCGCCCACTGCCAGTAACCCCGCCCACTGCCAGTAGCCCCGCCCACTGCCAGTAGCCCCGCCCCTCAAGCAGATGCTGTCATTTACAGTTTACGTCGCTGCACCTGTTCAGGTGTGATGACATCACAGCCTCAAGGCCATAATGTTGTGTCTGGTTGGAAGTTGTTCCTCTGCTGCTGTGACCTCTGACCTTTCTGTCCCTCTTCAGTCTCCGTCCCGCCTCCTCTGCCTTCCAGGTAGTCACTGTTATCACCCACATGTTGCCTAGCAACCGCCAATCACTCTCCCCATCCACCATGTCCTTCATGCAGACAATCACATCACTGACATCACCGCTGACATCACCGCTGACATCACCGCTGTGATAGATTCGTTGCAGTAATGGTTCTGTGAGGTTAAAAGTTAAAGGTCATGACCCCAGCTGTGGTCGGTATCCATCTCAGCGTTTCTGTTCTCGTCATCTTCCTGCCGCATCATCGCTTTGGCTCGACCTCATTGGCTGTTTTCGCTGCGGCGTTTCCTCTCTGCTAACATCTGCTTCCTTCTGATTGGTCAGCAGCCGGAGCGCCACTCCGTCGCCCAATAAGACAGCAGGAAGTCGAGGCGGACGCGAGCGATTCGCTGGGGAGTCCTACACCGTGCTGGGTGCTGCAACTACACCTTTTACTTTAACTAGGCCTTGGTTGGACGTAAGGCTTTTATTTGGTAATTGTAGGTCAAGTTAAGTTTGTGTTTCTGTCTCCTAGGCGACCAGGAGATCAATGGAGGCTGTAATTACTGGGAGCTCCGCCCCCTTGCTGACTGGAAGTCGCTCAGTGTGGGCGTGGCCTACCGGGGCAGCTTAGGACGCTTCGACCAATTAGGGAAGAGCTCCACCTCCTGGTGTCTCTACGCCAGCCAATGGCTGCAGAGCGCGCTGGCAGCCAAACATGGCAACCGAGCGAAGGCCTTGGATTGGCCGTTGCCGCAGCGAATTGGTGTTTACTGCGACCATGACAACGGTCTGCTGAGTCGCCATGACAACATATGACCTTCAGAATAAAATCCAGAAGCTGTTTTACAGCTGATGATGTCATCGCTCTTCCTCCTCCTCCTCTTCCTCAGGAGAGCTGATCTTCATCGACGTCGATCGGCTTCTTCGCCTGCTGCACGTCTTCAGGAACCGCTTCCTGCAGCCGCTCGTCCCGGCCTTCACCGTGAGTACTATAGTACTACTATAGTACTATAGTAGTACTATAGTACTACTATAGTAGTAGTATAGTACTATAGTAGTATAGTACTATAGTGCTACTATAGTAGTACTATAGTAGTATAGTAGTACTATAGTAGTACTATAGTAGTACTATAGAGTACTATAGTAGTATATAGTGCTATATAGTACAGCAGTACTACAGTACTATATAGTACTGCAGTACTGCAGCAGTAGTAAAACAACATTGCCAGTACTACTGGGTACTACAGCTACTGTAGTACTCAGTAGTACTGACTGTAGTACCCAGTAGTACTGACTGTAGTACTCAGTAGTACTGACTGTAGTACCCAGTAGTACTGACTGTAGTACCCAGTAGTACTGACTGTAGTAATGTGTGTTCCAGGTGTGGTGCGGGGGAATCTCCGTGGGAACGGGCCTGCAGGTGCCGAGCTTCATGGGAAACTTTGTGTCGTCCAATCACAGCACGGCAGCGGATCAATCACTCTGATTAATATTTTTCATTTTATATTAATGATAGAAAATATTTCTAGAAGCGTCTTGTAGAGGAAATTATCATCTCTGCAGATTTGATGGATTTGCTCAGACTTTTATTGTGAAGTACTTAGGAAAATCAGCGGATCAACACCCTGACCTTTCACATTAAAAGCATTGATATGATGCAGTCGCTCTGATGGTTTCATTGGTTTTCACTAGTAATTCTGACTTGCTGCTGCTGCCATTAAAGGAAAAAGGCTTTTATTGTGATTGGTGTCAGAAAGAGACAGGAAGTGATGTCACCCCAGATTCACGGCCCAGTCAAAGTCCAGACCTGCTGGGAGACATCAGCAGAACCAGACGGGTCAGAACCAGCAGGGCTCTGATTGGCTGCATGGCAACTAGTTATTCATAAATAATTTCCAACTTATCTGTAAATAAAATGGAAGTTATTATAAATTATGACTTATTTCCATAAATTAGTCCAAAGTAATGTATGAAGGTTTTTATGAATACATAAAAATGTAAACTTATTTTCAGGCCTGGTTCTGGTTCTGGTTCTCATCCAGTGAGTCTGGGTTGGTTGGGAGAACTGGGCCCAGTATGGACACAAATGGGTCACATTTGCTGGATAATAAATAACTTTAATTTCCACAAACAGCAGAAGGATGAGACTACGGAGCCCCACAAGGGACATGCAGGACGTCCCTCTAAAGTAGCGATCAGTTCGTTCATCAGTTCGTTCATCAGTTCATTCATCAGTTCATCAGTTCATTCATCAGTTCATTCATCAGTTCGTTCATCAGTTCATTCATCAGTTCATCAGTTCATTCATCAGTTCATTCATCAGTTCATCAGTTCGTTCATCAGTTCATTCATGACACCTGCTGCTGGAATGTGAGGATTATGTCAGGTTTCTCCATGTATGTTAATATTTGGTTGCTAAATATGTGAAGTTTTCCATCTTTTTCTTTGGGACAGAAATTCATATCAGACTGTGTTCAAAATGTAAAAGCTGAACAGGCTGAAGGTTTTCCTCTCTTTCCATCCATAAACAGAAACTTCCTGTAAGAAGGAAAGAAATGAAAATACATCCAAACTATTTGCTCTATTTCTGGGTTATTGTCAGGATGACATCTGGAGGCGTCTTTGCGAATAAAACTGTTTTTTTTCTCTTCATACAAAAACTCAGCCTGTCTCACTCGATCAAAGCGTTGCATTCAATGACATTAAGGAAATATCAGCACCAAGGATCAAGACACACAAAACCAAGTTCTGAAGGAATGAACGAACTGATAAGTCCAGGTGTCTCTGAGTGTCTCCAGGTGTGTCCAGGTGTCTCTGAGTGTCTCTGGGTGTGTCCAGGTCTCTCTGAGTGTCTCTGGATGTCTCTGAGTGTCTCCAAGTGTCTCTGAGTGTCTCTGGGTGTGTCCAGGTGTCTCCGGGTGTGTCCAGGTCTCTCTGAGTGTCTCCAGATGTCTCTGAGTGTCTCCGGGTGTGTCCAGGTCTCTCTGAGTGTCTCTGGTGTCTTCAGGTGTGTCCAGGTGTCTCTGAGTGTCTTCAGGTGGCTCTGAGTGTCTCCAGGTCTCTCTGAGTGTCTCTGGGTGTCTTCAGGTGTGTCCAGGTGTCTCTGAGTGTCTTCAGGTGGGTCTGAGTGTCTCCAGGTGTGTCCAGGTCTCTCTGAGTGTCTCCAGGTGTCTCTGGGTGTGTCCAGGTCTCTCTGAGTGTCTCTGGGTGTGTCCAGGTGTCTCCAGGTGTGTCCAGGTCTCTCTGAGTGTCTCTGGGTGTCTCTGAGTGTCTCCAGGTCTCTCTGAGTGTCTCTGGGTGTCTCTGAGTGTCTCCAGGTGTGTCCCCAGTTCTCGTGTTGTTTGTGTTGCAGTTCTGGTTGGGTCAGAGCAGAACTTTGTTGCAGCTTGTAGAACTCTGTAATGTCTCACATTGAAACATTTCAGTCTCACGTTTCAGGCTTTCCTCTAACAGCTTCTTGCTTTTTGACCCAGTCGGGCCTCCATATCTTTTCTACTTTGGAGTGAAGTCGTAGAACACAGGGTCAAAGTTCAGTCCTCAAAGTGTCCTGCAGTTTTTAGATGAACCACTGGGACAAAACGCTGGAATGAAACGTCTTCATGACCTCCTGGTGTGGATCGGTTCTCCAGAACCTCGATGACTCATTATTCTGTCCAGGAGCATCTAAAGGCTGCTGGTCCCCCAGTGGCCCCCAGTGACCCCCAGTGACCCCCAGTGACCCCCAGAACCTGTTGTAGAAATATTCCCACCTGAAGCTAGAAGATGAGACAAAAAATAATACAAAATCAGAACAATTTATAATTCACACATCAGATCTCATAAAGATCTGCTGGTCATGGTGACCCCACGCTGGTTATGGTGACCCCACGCTGGTCATGGTGACCCCACGCTGGTCATGGTGACCCCCACGCTGGTCAGTCTGTTTGCCGTAAACACAGCAAAACTGAATGTTTTTTGGTTTTTCTGGCCACAATAGAATAAAAATAACTTTAAGTAGAAATTATTATAAACAACATTTTTGGGAAAAAAGTCATTGATTTCAATGATTGCGATGCAAAATGATGATTAAAAGCCACTTCCCCAAACCCATCGAGTTCGGTTCCGGTTCCGATGACAACAGGAAGCTGTCATCGGAATGCGGAGCGTCACGTGACGCTCCGCATTGTGACGCAGATCAGCTGACTGCAGAGGAAGCTGCATCCTTCTCACGACCTTCATCGTTTCGCTGACTTTCTGCGGTTCCGTTCCCGGTTCTGTTCCCGGTTCCGTCCCGGTTCGGCCCGGTTCCGACCCCGCCATGGCGAGTCAGTCTCAGGGGATCCAGCAGCTGCTGCAGGCCGAGAAACGAGCGGCAGAGAAGGTGACGGAGGCCCGGAAACGTGAGTAAAACTTTCGGTCCGCTGAGGGGCTGCAGCGTTTGGGTCAGAGCCGAACCCGGTACCGGGCAGCGGGGCTCGGTGCCGGGGTCTCGGGTGGGTCTGGTTGGACCCGTTTGGACCCGCTAGGACCGATCAGTGGACTCCTTCAGGTGGTCGCTGCAGAACTCGGTGATAAAACCAGCGCATTTAACTTTTATCATCAGCTGCGCGGTCGGAACCGGAACATTTTACCGAACCGGAACCGGTTTCTGAAACGAAAAAGTACCCTTGCTTCGTCGGCTCACAGTTTATGCAGTTCTGTCCGGTTCTGGAGGGTATTCTGCACTGAACCATCCGTGCTCTTGGACTGAGACATGGGCCGAACTACCAGAACCGGATCGGTTCGGCTCGGTCCATCGGAAGGGCCCAGTCAGGACGGTAGAGGTTCCTGTCCGGTTCCCTCTGATGATGACATCACGTGATGTCCTGGGATTGGCTGGTTCGGTAAGCAGGGCTCGGTTCCGACCCAGTTGAGTTGATGCAGAGGTTCTGAATGGAGAACCGGAACCTGCTGAGGAATCCATGACGGTTATTTTACTCACCAACTATTTAAAGGACTTTTATTTTGGTGCTCAGGAAGTTTGTTTGAACATTTCCTCTGGCTCACTGACCCAGTTCTACTGGGCCGGAACCGCAGACCGGACCGGGTCTTTTGAGGAAAAATGAAACTGTTGGTTGGCTTGAAGCTGCTGTGGTTCTGGTTCTGGTTCTGGTTCTGAGGGTTTTGTTCTGTGTGCAGGGAAGAACCGGCGCCTGAAGCAGGCCAAAGAGGAGGCGCAGGCCGAGATCGAGCAGTACCGTCTGCAGCGCGAGAAGGAGTTCAAGACCAAGGAGGCGGCGGTGAGCTGGTCCTGACCCGGTTCTGACCCGGTTATGATCTGGACCTGACCCGGTTCTGACCCGGTTCTGATCTGGTCCTGACCCGGTTCTGATCTGGTTCTGACCGGGTTCTGACCCGGTTCTGATCTGGACCTGACCCGGTTATGATCTGGACCTGACCCGGTTCTGACCCGGTTATGATCTGGACCTGACCCGGTTATGATCTGGACCTGACCCGGTTCTGACCGGGTTCTGACCCGGTTCTGATCTGGACCTGACCCGGTTCTGACCCGGTTCTGATCTGGACCTGACCCGGTTCTGATCTGGTCCTGACCCGGTTCTGATCTGGACCTGACCCGGTTCTGATCTGGTCCTGACCCGGTTCTGATCTGGACCTGACCCGGTTCTGATCTGGTTCTGACCGGGTTCTGACCCGGTTCTGATCTGGACCTGACCCGGTTCTGATCTGGACCTGACCCGGTTCTGACCGGTTCTGATCTGGTCCTGACCCGGTTCTGACCCGGTTCTGATCTGGACCTGACCCGGTTATGATCTGGTTCTGACCGGGTTCTGACCCGGTTCTGATCTGGACCTGACCCGGTTCTGACCCGGTTCTGATCTGGACCTGACCCGGTTCTGATCTGGTCCTGACCCGGTTCTGATCTGGACCTGACCCGGTTCTGATCTGGTCCTGACCGGTTCTGATCTGGACCTGACCCGGTTCTGATCTGGTTCTGACCGGGTTCTGACCCGGTTCTGATCTGGACCTGACCCGGTTCTGATCTGGACCTGACCCGGTTCTGACCGGGTTCTGATCTGGTCCTGACCCGGTTCTGACCCGGTTCTGATCTGGTCCTGAACCGGTTCTGATCTGGACCTGACCCGGTTCTGACCGGGTTCTGACCCGGTTCTGACCGGGTTCTGACCCGGTTCTGATCTGGACCTGACCCGGTTCTGACCCGGTTCTGATCTGGACCTGACCCGGTTCTGACCCGGTTCTGATCTGGACCTGACCCGGTTCTGATCTGGTCCTGACCCGGTTCTGATCTGGACCTGACCCGGTTCTGATCTGGTCCTGACCCGGTTCTGATCTGGACCTGACCCGGTTCTGATCTGGTTCTGACCGGGTTCTGACCCGGTTCTGATCTGGACCTGACCCGGTTCTGATCTGGACCTGACCCGGTTCTGACCGGTTCTGATCTGGTCCTGACCCGGTTCTGACCCGGTTCTGATCTGGACCTGACCCGGTTATGATCTGGTTCTGACCGGGTTCTGACCCGGTTCTGATCTGGACCTGACCCGGTTCTGACCCGGTTCTGATCTGGACCTGACCCGGTTCTGATCTGGTCCTGACCCGGTTCTGATCTGGACCTGACCCGGTTCTGATCTGGTCCTGACCCGGTTCTGATCTGGTTCTGACCGGGTTCTGACCCGGTTCTGATCTGGACCTGACCCGGTTCTGATCTGGACCTGACCCGGTTCTGACCGGTTCTGATCTGGTCCTGACCCGGTTCTGACCCGGTTCTGATCTGGTCCTGAACCGGTTCTGATCTGGTCCTGAACCGGTTCTGATCTGGTCCTGACCCGGTTCTGATCTGGTCCTGACCCGGTTCTGACCCGGTTATGATCTGGACCTGACCCGGTTCTGACCCGGTTCTGATCTGGTCCTGACCCGGTTCTGATCTGGTTCTGACCGGGTTCTGACCCGGTTCTGATCTGGACCTGACCCATTGGTTTTTAACTTGTTTGACCTCTGACCCTCTCAGGCCCTCGGTTCCCATGGTAACAGCGCCGTGGAGGTGGACCGCGACACGGCGGAGAGGATGGCTCGCATCCAGGACAGTTACCGCGGTAACCGTGAGACGGTGCTGAACGAGCTGCTGCGGCGGATCTGCGACATCCAGCCGGAGTTTCACGCCAACTACCGCGTGGCCGGCTGAGGGGGCGGGGCTTCCGCTGCCCTGAGGGGGCGGGGCTTCCGCTGCCCTGAGGGGGCGGGGCTTCCGCTGCCCTGAGGGGGCGGGGCTTCCGCTGCCCTGAGGGGGCGGGGCTTCCGCTGCCCTGAGGGGCGGGGCTTAGTGTTGCTGTTCCTGTGCTGTTTACAAAGTATTTGTACTTCAAAATAAAGTTTGTTTCTTCTGGAATTTAACAAAATAAAAGTCTGGTAATCCAGCCAATCACGTGACAGAATCTCCTGATATGAGGAACACCTGATTGGCTGGAGAAGACACTCTTATTGTGAAACTCTGCTATTACAACAATGTTTTCCTGTTTGTGACCATGTGACTTTGTGTTGATTGTGATGATGGAACATTAAAGTGAATCTGATTGGCTCAATGTGCATCATGACGTTCCCCAGTTTCCTGGTTTTCACTTTCTGTTTCCAGTCCTGATGAGATGAGATGGGTGTCAGCGACCCCGCGGCTCGTCAGCGACCCGCGGCTCGTCAGCGACCCGCGGCTCGTCAGCGACCCGCGGCTCGTCAGCGACCCGCGGCTCGTCAGCGACCCCGGCTCCCACACATTTCAAAATGTTTGAAAAAGATGAGTGTGGGAAATATGTTTTTGTTGTACTTTGGTTTCTGTTGGAGGACAAACATGACAATCATTCTTAACGTTTTCATAAACACAACATTTCAAGAAAGATTTGGGTCGCAGGCTGTGGCAGGCAGAAAGTTGAGCTAACAACCCACGGTGTGGTGGACTGAGGAGACATCGTCCAGTGTTGGACCCTGCAGGTTTGTCCCATAAAGCGTCATGCAGGATAAAGAGCTCAGCTTCCTGCCGGACTGCAGCGGTTCGGTGCAAAGTGTCGTTTTTGTGCCTGAGACATCCGGGGTGTGGAAGACATTTCACACCTGCCTTTGGCACATATATTTAGGAACAAGGCGGCTGTTTCATGCATCATTAGTGAGTTTTTTTCTCCATATATTTAACGACATTCATGTTTTTGTTGCTCATTGGCATTTCCACACAAATCAAACAAACTGCAGCCATTTCATTTCATATACTTTTATTTTGTAGCTGCAGGTTGTTTTGTTGCTCTCCGTTTAATGCCCAGATCAGCGGCACGTGAAGCCCGTTTCATTCCATTTCGGTCCATTCCGTTTAGTTTCGTTCCATTCCGTTTCGTTTCGTTCCGTTTAGTTCCGTTTCGTTCCGTTCCATTCCGTTTCGTTCCATTCCGTTTCGTTCCATTCCGTTTCGTTCCATTCCGTTTCGTTCCATTCCGTTTTGTTCCGTTTCGTTCCGTTCCGTTTCATTCCATTCCGTTTCGTTCCATTCCGTTTCGTTCCGTTCCGTTTCGTTCCATTCCGTTTCGTTCCATTCCGTTTCGTTTCGTTCCATTCCGTTTCGTTCCATTCCGTTTCGTTTCGTTCCATTCCGTTTTGTTCCGTTTCGTTCCATTCCGCTTCGTTCCGTTGAGTTCGTTCCGTTCTGTTTTGTTCCATTCCATTTCGGTCCATTCCGTTTCGTTCCATTTCGGTCCATTCCGTTTCGTTCCATTCCGTTTCGTTCCATTCCGTTTTGTTCCGTTTCGTTCCATTCCGCTTCGTTCCGTTGAGTTCGTTCCGTTCCGTTTTGTTCCATTCCATTTCGGTCCATTCCGTTTCGTTCCATTTCGGTCCATTCCGTTTCGTTCCATTCCGTTTTGTTCCGTTTCGTTCCATTCCGTTTTGTTCCGTTTCGTTTCGTTCCATTCCGTTCCGTTTCGTTCCATTCCGCTTCGTTCCGTTGAGTTCGTTCCGTTGAGTTCGTTCCGTTCCGTTTTGTTCCATTCCGTTTCGTTCTGTTTCGTTCCATTCCGTTTTGTTCCGTACCGTTCCGTTTCGTTCCGTTCCGTTCCGTTTTGTTCCGTTCCGTTTTGTTCCGTTCCGTTTTGTTCCGTACCGTTTCGTTCCGTTCCGTTTCGTTGCTGTTCTACCCTAACCCTAACTTACCGTGATTATTTACTGTCGTTATGCAAAATGCATTTGGAGCAGATTTTCCAAAAGAAAAAAAATACTTTTTCCTGTTGATCTTCATCATAAAAATGACATTAAAAGAAAATTAGATTTCTTTATTTCATTTCTTTAATTTTATCAATGCAACGAAACATAAACATTAATCTTGTAATGGGAGCTAAACTTAAAGCGCCGTCGTACAACAGAGTCACGTGGTGCGTCATTCCGTCCAGGACGCACAGCAGGAAGATGAACATTTGATCATGAATGCTAATTATGTTTACACTTAGTCATTTTGATAATTCTGTTTTGCCTTCACTATTAGCCTGATATGAGGCTTTTCATATTTTGCGGCTCTAGATTAGTTTTGGTTTTATGGTCCAATATGGCTCTTTCAACATGTTAAGTTGCCGAACCCTGGGTTAGGGGTTAGGGGTTAGGGGTTAGGGGATCCTTGCAGGCTGCAGTTCGTCTGTGATCCGCCAGGCGGAGCTGCAGATGTTTCCAAGTACACTTGGCTGCAGCATGCGGAAAGGGGCGGGGACGGACCACTGTCAGTCTCAGACCTTATATGGAAATGGGACTATTGCATTCCGGAAATGAAGGGCGCCAGTGACACCATTTTCCTGTACCAGTCGTGTTTTAATAATTATAATAAAACGCATTTTATTTGACAACGCCTTTCAAAACACCCAATAACACTTTTAAAATTTAAAATTAATTACAAATTAACTACAAATTAAACAGTAAGGAAATGACATACAGGTGTTATGTCACGTGGTATATCTGTCACGTGGTATGTCTGTCACGTGGTATGTCTGTCACGTGGTATGTCCCTTTTTTATTTTTAGATCTTTATTAAATCTTTGTTTTCGGATGTTAAAATTATATCAGTAACAAACAATCTATAATAAGCAATAGTAAGGAATCATTATGGAGATGTATTTATCTATCCTTACACCCTAACTTTCCCAAACAAAAGTCATAAAACATAAATTAACATTTTAGAGACAAATGTACACTACATTAAGACACATTTATCAATCCATCAATGATTTTACTCTCAGGTTATCGTGCAGTGGGTGATGAGAGCTGCTGTAGGGACCCTGGACAGATCGCCAGTCCATCGCAGAAAACAGATATAAACAAATACTTGCTGGTGTTGAAGTTCAAATAATAGATTTTGATGTTGTGAATGGTACTCTTAAAATAAATAAGTTAAAATCTAAAATATAATATCCTTTGCCTTATTAATAAGGACTAGATGGAAAATAGGCCGATAGTCAAAATCGTTGACTAACGGTAAAACGTTTAGTCAATTTTGCCCAACTGGGTTCATCCATTCACAGAACACTTTTGTTCTGTTTATTTGCCAAGTATTTTTCTTATTATTCACAATGTGAATATAATTTACAAACAAATTGAATGACTTTAGAACTTCTAACAAGCTCGACTATTATCATTGTTTACCATAATGTCTAAACTGATTGGTGTCCCACTATTCTGTTTAGAAATTCAAAATCTATTCTACCAATTGCAATTGATTCATAAACTGCGCCCCAAAGACCTTAAATATGCAATTGTTGCAAAACCCAAAGTGATTCATTTAAAACTTTAAATGTAGCTTCAACCTGGAAAGACTCACAGAAAGCAGGTTTTAGAAAGTTCATTTGATAAGAAATGATCTTCGAACCCCGGCAGTAGACACTGCGCTGGTAACTGCCAGAGAGAATGATTCGCTGTTGGGTTTTCTCTATGAAAACCTTTTTGAATAAATTCACTGGATACATAAATTAAATCCATGTGTAAATTGTAACCGTCTCCTCTGATCACGGCGCCGGTCTCATCTCCTCCGTCCTTCACAAACTCCGGCTTGATGTGCAACTGCTCCTCACCTGAGCCTCCATCACCTCCACCTGGTCTCCACCTTCACTCAGCTCACCTTTAGTCTTATGTTTGGATTATGACTCTGTAACTAAACAATGTTTCTGTATGTTCTTGCTTTATTATAAAACAACAGTTGATTCTGACTGTTAAACAAACTTAGCCGTATGTCAGGTTTGTAAAGAACATTTGTAATGATTCCAGTCATTGTTTAAAAAGTATAGGAAACATTACATTTACACATATAAAATATTACAAGTTATTAACTTAGCATGTATTACAAATTTTTAAAACAAGGTGATCCAATTGCTAAACAACACTGTTACAATATATTTACAACTACTTTATTTGATCTACTCTCTCCAACAAAATGCAGCCACAATATAACATCATTTCTTTAAAAACTAAATAATGTAAATCAACTGAGCTACAACAAAAGGAACATTCAAAAATGTACATAATATTGAAATAACACATGAAAACGAATGACTGAACAAGTCAAAAGGCAAATATGCTTCAGCATAAATTATTTAAAATGGCATTTCACAAAAAAACAACTAATGTGTGACAACTGAAATGTGTGAAAGACTACAGAAAACAACTAATATTGTCCTAGCATTCAGTACTGGCATTCAGGGCAGTGTCCAGATGTGCCATCAGAGTAGTAAGGGAACTCTCCTCATCTTCCATGTCCAGTGAAGCCCACAGAGTCTTTATGTTGCCGGTTGCAGGAAGAACATCTTACAACCGCAAAAGGAATCCTGTTTTCTGCCTTGCATGAGTCTGAAAATGTCGCCCAGCTGATCTCACCTGTTGATGAAAAACTGATTTTATGTAGTTGAATCTAATTTCACATGTTTTAGGTGAAAAAAGTCAAAGGTCCTTACCATCTAGCCAAGCAAAGTGAGTCTTCCTCCTGAAACTGGGTCAGACACAATGGCTTCTAAGCACTTGCAGGTCAATGCCAAGGTGAGGGAAGATGTGCCTCCCTGTGCCAGAATCACCTCCTGGAGAACAGCTTCCAGTGCAATCAAAGGCATCTGAAAATAATAATAATAAAAAAAACATGTGCAATGCAAGACTCATACTGGAAGAATGGCTATGACATGATTATAAATGAATCTTAAAAAAAGAAATGAATAAAAAAAAAAAAAAACATCTATACATTGCAGATATGTTTAAACAAGATGTGATTCATTCTCACTCAGAACAGAGTGAGGACTCAGCCTAATAGCTACTAAGATAAAAGAAAAAGGTTATTACACACCAGGAAATATACAAATGATTGGTAGAACAAAAGGCATGTTTGAATTAATCACTGTAGATTCTTTAACATTGTTGTAACTGTTTTGTAGGATTTAACAGTTAATGGCTTCCAGATAACAAATATATGTTCTGCACAAAATGAACAGCCAAAGATTAACTAATCAGATTTACTCAATTACTCTGTAACTTTGATAAAAAAAATAATTAGGACTATTTTTCCAAATGTTATACTCTTGAGTTAATTTTGT